TAGTTAGTTAGTTAGTTAGTTAGTTAGTTAGTTAGTTGTTAGTTAGTTAGTTAGTGTAGTTAGTAGTAGTATATATATATATATATATATATATATATATATGTAGAGGCTTCGTATCGTTGTAGATGCATTGGTGGCCAATTGGGATCGTGCATTCGGCAAACGATACAAACATATATTTCCACCCCCTGCTCTCGTTCGCTCAACACAAATCTGGTTTGTTATAGACAAAAGGGTGGATTGCTCAACCACTGCACGACAACACCACAGCCGGTATACACCATCATCAGCGCATGTTTAAACCGTACTACCATCGCCAATCATCTGATGTCCCATACACAACTACAACACAGTGTGACCAAGCTGAAGCAACAGCATGTGGCAGCAAAGCTGAGGAATGCCGCCAGTGATGTAGCAACGATGAGTAGCGTGGTCGCACAGATGAAGCACCATGACGCGGGATCAACGTCAGACACAGCAAGCCAGACTACCCTACCGACGAATACGCTCACCTCAGCCTCGAGTACGGGCTCTGGCACCAAAGGGAAAGATAAAGCGTGACCGTGCGGCACGAAGATATCCGTTGGCTTATGTATTTGAAGCGCTATATCAATGATTAAAATTCACGAGAAAATGTCAATATTTGATTAAATTAACCAGAAATGTCCTTGGACGATTAACATTCACGAGAAAATGTCCTTGGATGATTAACATTCACGAGAAAATGCCCTTGGATGATTAACATTCACCAGAAAATGTCCTTGGAAGATTAAAATCCACGCGAGAATCTCCTTGGATGATTAACATTCACCAGAAAATGTCCTTGGATGATTAAAATTCACGAGAAAATGTTCTTGGATCATTAAAATTCACGCGAAAATCTCCTTGGGATGATTAACATTCACGAGAAAATGACCTTGGATGATTAACATTCACGAGAAAATGTCCTTGGATGATTAACATTCACGAGAAAATTTCCTTGGTTTGGATGGCGTATGCGGTGGAATTCAAAATTTAGTCAGGCTCAACTGAAAAGTCAGGAGAAATGCTTGCAATCAGAAGTGAAGTCAGGTAAAATGCTTGCAACCCAAAGTAAAGTCAGGTAAAGTAGTTGCAATCAGACGTGAAGTCAGGTTAAATTGCAATCAGAAGTGAAGTCAGATTAAATACTTTCAATCAGAAATGAAATCAGGTTAAATACTTGCAATCAGAATTGAAGCCATTAAATACGTAGTCAAAAATAAAGTTAGGATAAGAATTTACAATCAGAAGTGAAGTCAGGTTAAATGCTGGCAATCAGAAGCGAGGTCATGTTAAATACTGACAATCGAAAGTGAAATCAGGTTAAATTGCAATCAGAAGTCAAATCATGTTCAATATACTTGAAATCAGAAGTGGAGTCATTTTTTTACTTGCAATTAGAAGTTAAGTCATCCTGTTAAATACTTGAAATCAGAAGTGAAGTCAGGAGCGAGCTGTAAAGCGAGTAAAACTTCCTTTCAATAATATTTAAAAATTGATCATTCAGAATCTCAACTCACTACTGTTGAATTTACCGGGTTTTGGCGGGTCAGATTTGTATTCAAACAGAAGTCAAAACATGTGGTAATAAACTTTTTGTTGCACACACGAAACTCTTGTCTACTACCTTTAATGTATGCGTCTCGCACTACTTAAGCAGATGACACAGCTAAACCCAACAATAGAGTAGCACTAGTCCATAGCATTATGTCCGAAGATGAATTGAAACGGAGTATGTTATGCAGCGACGGTGATAGATTCTACAGGAAAAAGATCAACATGGTGACGAATACTACGGTAAAAGCTGTGATGAGATCGCCAACCGGAATCCGTTTAGCAACTACCCTGATCGAAAAGATTTGATCGCATCACTACGAGATTACCGACCACGGGCTAAACAAGGTGCTTGCCCAGAATACCACGTATCCCCGAACTGAGTCTAGGGTTTAGGGTTTTGGGCCCGGCCGCGTGGTCTCAAACTATGAGAACACACAGAATGTCACAGGGTAAAATACTATGAACATTTTGAGGCCCGTGCCAGTAGACCACTGTCTTAATAATATCTAGTTAAAAAAGTCTGTATCTAGCACCGACCTTTGTGTTTCAGTCAATACTACATCACAATTAGATATTAGGCAGTACTCTATCTTTTTCTTTGGGCGGCGTTTTTTGAATTTAGCGATTGAGCATCAAATTTAGGTGATTTTGGGTGAGATTTTGTTGGCAGCCATGGTTAAACAGAAGGCAGTTGTGTTAATGGGTGGAGATTCGGATAATTTGTGGGCAAGGTCCGAATATATTGATTTGGTGCGTACAAAAGTAGTCTACACGGGCCTTGGTGAGGGCCAGGCGACAGAAAAAGTGCGCATCCTGAAGCAGGCGATCACACAGGATATTCCCGTGTCGCTTCAGGGTCGGATGCTCCCGGCAATAAGAGTAGATCCGGATTGGCTTGTGGCGTACACCAGGCTGTATGCTGATGTTTGGTCCAAGTTTAGAAAGGGAGAAAAGGCCTCGGCGGTGGCGAGTTTTGCGAGATCGCCGCGCCAGGATACGGAGAAGATGTATGAGGTACTCCAGGAGTTAATTATGTTCATGTGTAGGCGATCAATGTTAAGGTGTTGGTAGATGAGGTGGTGACCAAGAAGAGAACCCCTCAGTGCACGTAGCGTCGGCTACCGACTACCTGGCTGCCATGCAAAAGCAGTTGGCGGCATAACAGGCGGACCACCCCGTCCGTCAGGAGAGCCAAATGGAGCGATGGCGAGGACGATCAGCGAGACGAGTGATGAGGCAGTTGAGGCTAGCGCGCCTAAGAAGCGTGTGCCGAAAACTGCGGTCGAGATGCGCAAGGAGGCCAGGCGGGCAGCACGGGCGGCCAAGAAGTTGGAGGCAGCGAAGCAGGGGGAGCAGCGTGAAGCAGGACTGTAATCGCAGCACCTGTCGGGCCTAGCAGGGGCGCAGGCTCTTCCTTTAGCCCAGCCTAAGGAGGTGGGCCAGTGAGGGGCAGAAATCAAGTCCTTGAGGACCGTCTATTGAATGACTCCGACCTTGACGATAGGAAAGCGGATAACATTCGCTATCTAATCGATAACAAGAG